AAGCCAAATAACAACCAACAGCATAACAATGCTGCTGTACACAGCAAACCAGACAAACAGCATATTGACAAAGGGAGGTTTACTGCAGATCTCTGAAAAACAGGATTGCATTAAGCATTTGACCACCGTACAGAAGCACTACAGTGCAGCATCTAGCCTCTTTGTAACTCTCAGCTGGCCTATCTTAGAAATCCTTCAGGCTCACGAAGGCTCCCTACGTACCATCAGGGTGTACAAGCTTGCAACCCTGACAGCCCTCACATCACTCTTGCAGACTAACAAAGAAGATGGCTATGCCAAGGAAAAGGATTTTATTTTCCCCTCCCAAACAGCTCTTTCCAGTGCCTGCCTGTCCAGTGACATTACCCAACTGACATTTTCCAGTTTGAAAGCCTGGCTTCCCTAGTAGCAAAGCCCTGAGATGCAGAAAGCAGCTAAGTCCCTAGAGTCTCCTTTCCACTGTTCAAGCAATTCAGAGGCTCAGGAAGAAAGGCATTCATCATCCCACTTTCTGGCATTTAGTGGCAATTCATGAAGCTATACTCCTCCTATGCCTCAAGGCCATACCAGCCAGACATCTAATCATGAAAGCATACACAATCCGTGCCCTGCACTTAGACATGCAGAGCGGATTCAGTGGTTTCACATTGCAACCTTTAGGTGGGGTATTGCTACATTGCCAAGAAGCTGCAGGGATTCTTCTAAATAGTCAATTAGCCTCACTAGAAAGAAAAACCCTCATCTTGCCCAGGACCATCTGAACATATGAAAATGCTTCTTCACTGTGAGGGTGATTGAACATTGGAACAGGTTGCCCAGAGAGGCTGTGTAGTCTCCACCATTGGAGATATTCAAAACCCAACTGGAAGTGTTCCTGGGCAACCTGCTCTAGCTGACTCTGCTTAAGCAGGGTGGTTGGACCAAATGATCTCCTTGATCAGTTGAGGCCTCTTTCAGCCTCAACTATTCTGTGACAGGAAGCTGACAGCCACATGAATCACCATGATCTACTCAGACCCTTCTGCAAGACAGCACAGGTACAAGCAGGGCATTGCAACAGCATCTTGTATGAAGGTTACCAAATGTTGCTAATTGCTGACTACAGAATGATTAGGAGGTATGAAAATAGCAGATGAGACCTGGGATGCACCAGGAAAGGTATTTTCAGTAAAGGGAGAGAAGCAAGGAGAGATGCTGTCCTACAAGTCTGAGGCCTCATTTGAGAAAAAAATTGACTGCAGTTCAGTCATCCATCTTCAAAAAAGCTTATCTTTAACAAAAAAAAAAATGAGTAGAAGAGCTTGGCTTCTTTGGCCCAGAACAAAGAATGGCTGCCTACAGAGAGACTAAAAAGAGACAATTGAGCACCAAAAGTACAACCTCGGCATGAGATCAAAGGTCATGAATAAATTCAGACTGGAAATTGGAAGAAGTTTGAGCATTTGCTCTAGTGCTTAGGAAATCAGGTCACTGGATTCCCATCCTTAACAGGTTCCTTCCAGTCCTGCTATGGATTTCAGGATTTCCTGCTATGGATTTTTTTTTTTTTTTAAACTAAACTTCACTTGTCTGAATCTGTGTCAATATGAAGGATTTTTGCTGTCTTTTGAGCAGTTCAGGGACAGAGGTTAATTTGGCTTTCAGAAAACTTCACCCAGGCTGATTCAACCATTAAAAAAAAAAAAAAAAGGATGTAGAGAAAACATCAAAAGTAGAAAAAAACAAGCAAAAACCCCTCAGTTTTGCCTGAATGTAGTGCCAACCATCTTTTCTTCAAATAGGTCCACTGTCCACAAGCTCTAGAAAAGAACCGTAACATAAAAGGCACATAATAAGGTTTGAAGAATGATCCTTTTGTCGTTTGGTTTCTGTTTTTGTTTAAATCTGCCCACATTTGGCCCAGCTATAACTCTTAACGTAATCAATTTTTAGATGCTTGGTAAAGACTTTTCAGAAACTAACAGCTTCCCTCTGTGAAGATACCACTTCATAGAGCGTGCTCCAGTCAAGGTACGTGAGACTTTCTCGGCAACAGTGAATCACAGTTACTGCGCCCAGATGCTGACTAGAACTGATCTTCTTTCCCTCAGAACCGATTCCTCTTCCCGAGACCGAAGCAGGTCTTTGGCAGAGGAAGCCAAATCAAACAAGAAATAAGAGCCACAGCATCATGGGAGAGCAGAGAAACAGAATATGAACGCATGCTAATTAAGTTTAGCATGATGAAGAAGATGGTTCAACAGTCAGAGCCTTAAGAATCAAATCCCTGACAGTTTCAAGCCCAACTAGCAATGGGTGCTAGACCAGTTTCTAGAGCTATAAAGCTGCCATGGCTCCCACTGAACTCCATGTAGAAGCTGAACATGTCTAAGCAAGCACCAGGCCTTCCTTGTTTGTATACCTTCATTTCTGCTGCCCTCTCCCCCTGCAAGAAGATGATGACCCCAGCAGACGGTGGAATAGTGAATCCGTCAAAGAAAAGGAACATACTGAAGCATCACCTAAAGTGCCTCTCAAAGGCTACGTAAGCAATATTAGAAAAGTGTTGTCCTAGTTCTGATAATGGAACAGTATTAAACAACTTAATAAGCAGGATGTTTGTATTGACTGACCTGCCTGGCCCTTTCAAGTCAAGTGATTTCTTTATTCTTAATAGCTTTTCTTCTTAACAACTGAAATGACTACGTGGTGGCTCACTGCATGCTGGGTATCCACAGCAAACTTTCACATGTTCCCTACGCACCCTGAGAAAGGAAATAAAACAAAACAGGCATAACTGCTACTGTTTTAGGCCTGCAGTCACACTAACAACCAAGAACATACAGTCAGCCATGCATTTAGAACCTTCTGCCAAATATTTCAGAAAGAAGATCTACTTGGGAGGCTCCTTTAAACACCTGCATACTGGATTACAAGAATCAGTGCTGCATGCAGCAACAAACTCAGTACTGAATACTGTACTTGTGTACATCACAGGAGAGTCGCCCCAAAGCAACATCACTTAGCACTATCCTAGACAAGATATTCCCTCTCCTGCATGTGCAGGGAAACAAAGACACTTCCAAATTGGGCGCTGGTGATTTTGAGGGACACAAGGCATTTCTCAGCAGTCACACAGCAAAGCAAGAGCTATGTCAGTAGCTTACCTAGCAGCGTGGACACTGCCTCCACACCACCATTGTAGATCTCCGAGCTGTGAGAAGGCAGCACCATCTCCCACAGGCCCTGAGCGTAGTTGATGACCTGGAAGTAGCCACAGGTTGACAGTGCCCACCACACAGACCAGCAGAGCATGGTTCGCGAGGAATAGCACTGCAGGAAGTCTTGCCAGAGGTCTCTGAGCACCTTTAAAATGTCTACTTTCTGCTCCTGCATAGAAGGGAGAGGGAGGGGGAGAAATGTTAGGCTCTGCTTATAAATACTTCATATTGCTCCACAAGATTGCTCGTTTCAAGTGATCTGATCACTAGTGAGTGACGCTACCACTTTTGGTCACAAACCTCCAGACAGCAATCAATAAAAAGCTTCCCTATTACACTGTCCCAGTAGCTGGTCTCTACGCTAACCAGGACAGCCCGCTTCTGTGCAAAAGAAGGGTTCGGTTTGCTCTCCATGACCCATTTGATCCTTGTCTCTCTCAAGCAGACAGCAGTAATTGCTAGTTGTTGAAAGGACTATGAGAGCAGCTGAAGGGTACCAGAGAGAAGAAATACAGGAGAATGCTCAAAATGAACATTGTGGTGCAAACAGAATGAGAAGCCAGTCATTCACTTCATAAAGACAGAAGTATCAGTGATGCTTTTTGCTTGTTAAGTCCTGATCCAAATTCAACTACATTTGGTAGTGCGGAGAATATGAAAGCAACTTGATGAGTATTTTTCTCAAAGTAAGTCAATTTTCCTTAGTACTAGTGCTCAGGGATTACAATGAAAGTGAAAAATCACCTTTTACACACAGGCTGTTAGAATTATATTCTGAGCCACTTTACAAGAATAGCAGCAGAGAAAACTAGTATATCTTTCCTTTGTAGCTAGAGCTGCTAACTATGGTCTCTGTATGTACACGTACACACAGAGTCTTTGAAGACAGGCATACCCTTTCCATAGAAATCAAAGCAGCAGTTACTTCACATAAGACTTTGCAGAGCTCCTGAGTCCCACTAGGCATCTGCAGCCCAGTAAGAGATTTTCTTTTGACTTCTCTACAGAAAAACTTTTAGCACAGTAACAGGACTGAGCCATTGGATATTGGGCCATGGCACATCCAGTTTCAGAGCAGTTTCCAGTCACAAGCAGCAACGACCTTGGGCTCTTGGCCACGTGCCTTGTGCAGGGGAAATCATGCATTGCATGCCTTGGAAAGACCGTTCTCCAAGAGCAATAAATCTCATTTTAAGGTCCCTCCAATAAGATCCCCAAGAAAGACTTTAGCCTACTGTGACCTGAACTGTTTCCTGCACCCTTCAAAGTGTCACCGATTTCTGAGTATCCTTATAAAATATCACACAGTCCCTTTGGTGCTTTGTCAATGGCAAGATACTTGCTGTGGGTGTGGATGCCCCTCTCTAAAGCCTGACAGAATCACATGGAAAGAGGACAGCTCAAGGCAAAGTAAGAATATTAGCAACATAACTCCCAAACAAAGTTTTCTGTGAAGTTCAGGCACAGGAAAACCAAGGAAGAGAACTGTCATATGCTGCAAAAACTGATTCAGCAAGTTCTACACAAGCAGGTGCCTGATGAGCCAGAAGAAGCCTATCTGTCCTCCCACCATCTGGAAACACTTCTTCAGTACAATTATTCATACAGCCATTAATTTAGGATTATACATTGTGGTTACCATTACCTTAGTAAGAAGAACTATAATCACATGACAATGCTTCTTAGCTTTCAGCAGCTGGTGTTACTTAACAAGCTATGGAGAGCTCAGTTAATTCACATCTACTTAAAATTTTTCACCATTAGTTTGGAACCACCCTTGTTCTCATAGTATGGGAATAAGATAAAAGAAAGAGGGACAGACAATTGATGCTAATCCCTTAGTCATTACTGGCACAGAGTTTTAGATGCTTTAAGGTGCTTTAGTCTTAAATTGTTTAATAAGTACCCTTCAACATGTTAAAGTATACCATGGCTCAAAATACTTCTGCTTTTAATTGCCTCAATAAAGCCACCCCTACCCTAAGACCAGAAAATCTCCAGAGGCATTTACAAGCTATCACTAACATGACTATGGTGTTCCCACTGCTGGAACCAGGACTGGTAAGGTGCCCTTTGAGCATTGATGCCAGTATCTGAAAATAGCCCAGCTCTGATGAGGACTGCTGGAGGTCCTCCCTAAGGAAAAGGCCAGAGGGAAAGGCCTTCAGGTCAAATTCACCGATTCAAATATTCCACTACAAACGCTTGATGCTTCTCTGGGACATCCTCATTTCTTCCCACCAGAAGACAAAGCAAAACAAAGACTGCCCTTTTTTTTATTACTCAGTATTTTATTACTCAGTAATACTCAGTATTACTCAGTACTCAGGGTCTCACAGAACCGGGCTGGATCAGGCAGGATTAGTTCCCTGGAATGCTAATTCTTTTAATTCCTAGCTGCAGCTTGACGAGACACAAGCTGGAAGCAGCATCTGATGCTGCCTCCCCTGCCCCAGCTAACATAGCCAGTGCCAAGCCCCTTTGCCTTCCCCACCTGGATGTTCAAACCACAGCTCTGACACGTGCAGATACAGCATAATCTATAAACACCACTATTTCTTTGCTTTTGTCTTAAAAAAAAAATTATACCAACTCCTCATTCTTTTTAGTTAAATGACTAGCTTATGTGTAAGTGAATTCCCTATTAGTTTGCTAAACCAACAAAAGTACTTACCTTCTGCCCTGTTCTCAAAACCAACACAACCTCCTTCTGACCGAGGAGCAGCAGCGACCTCTTTCCCCCCAGCGAAACTCCCCCATTTTTGGGGGCTTGATTTGACACTTTATTTCCAATCCCGTCTTGGGACCCCCTTATCAGCCAAGCTAACACTGGCTGAGCCTATGCAACACCTGAACCTCCACCAGGGCCTTGAAGCCTCTCTGCCACACCGGGCTCAGATAAACACGTATTACCTGGCTGACACATGGCAGAGACCTGTCCGGTCAAGCAACTAAACGCAGGCATCAGGCCTCAAAACTGGAGGCTGCTTTGCTTATCCTGTCACAAGACCTAATGCATGCCATCCCTGAGCAAGGGACGGTACCTGCATGCTTGCTTCCATACAAGCGGTCAGGCATCTGTAATGAACAGGACACACAACTGCCCTCAGTGACTTTGTTTTCAGTTACGTAGCCCACAAAAGCAGGGTGTTACTGGCTTAGCCCCTGGTGTTCTGGCAGTTTGCATTAACCATTGACGTGATGCAAAGATGTTTCCTGCAACTCGGATATCAGAGTTCTGTATATCTGTGACTTATCAGTGTTAGCACTCAGGTAGTACAGCGGTTTCCTTCCAGTTAGCGCTGTTATCAGTGTTAGCGCTCAGGTAGTACAGCGGTTTCCTTCCAGAATCATAACACAAAACCCATTCACTCTGTACCTTGCAGAGCAACTCATGCAACAGTTGCAATACATATACACATGACAGTTGTGCATGTATGTATATAGATACACACTTATGTATATATGTATATTTGCACACACATACATATATGCACGAAAGCCACACGAGCGCTGCATCTTCTGTTTGTTTCAACCCAGGACGCAGCTTACCTGCCTCTGTGAGGATTGCCCCTCCACGTTTAAGGGAACTTTTGTCTCGTCCTCCCAACCGGGTGTCCTCCGCATGTCAGGATGATCTTGGACAGCAGATCCATTTTTACAGTCTATGATCTTCATTTCCCTGCCAACTGGCTGACTTGAGGCATGGTGAAAGAAAAGGCTTTTCTGGGGCATTGGCAGAAACCAGGCCATACCAAAGGCGACGGACACGCAGGTTAAGGAGATAACGTTTAAGCTGAAGAGGGACCAGCCTGCCACCGACACAAGGAGCTGCCCGGAGACCGACCCCACGGTGTAGCCCACCAGGGTGGCGCTCCGGCAGTAACTGGTGACTTTCCGGTACAGGTTCAAGTCGACGACGCTGTAGATGTAGGCGTAGTAGGCGACGTCCGTGGCGGTGCCCAGGCCGTAGAAGAACTCGAGGAGCTGGACGGCCAGCAGCCCCTGGGCGTAGAGCAGCATGAACCACGTCACGATGAGGCTCAGGCCCTGCAGCAGCACCACGGGCTTGTACCGGAGATAGTCGGTGGCCAGGAACACCGGGAACAGCAGCACCAGGTAGGAATAGGTCCACACCGGGTAGATCTCGTTGAACACCTGCAAGGGGAAGAGACGGCGGTAACCCTCCCGCACCGAGGCGCTCAAAAAGAAACCACGAAAAACAACGTTATCGCCGGCAGGCGGCGAGGCGTAGGCCGGCCGGGCGCCGCTACCTGGCTCTGGGTGAGGTTCTTGTGCGGCCCCAGCAGGTAGCGGGTGAGGAAGGGCTCGGA